AGTTGGCTCTCTTGTCTTTTATGAGGACGATGCATCAGGAGTCAGCGAAGAGGAAGACTATAGTAACGTTAGTATGCTTCTGTGCAGTTGCTCTAGTGTAATGCTAGAGGCTCATCACTTTCCCTCCTCTGGATGGAATAGGAAATAATGCAAGGTATCAGCCATTATTATGTGCAAACGTTGACTCGTTAGTAGCTGCCATCACGTGCCTTGAAAGCATAGCGAACGGAGTTGGGTCTAAATATCCCCACAGTCTGTTTCAAGACACATGCATATATCATATCTGCACCACTTTGGGCTTCTGTTTTTTAGTATGGCTTTCTATTTATTTTTAATCAAAGCGCGCTTACGTTTAAATTGGGGCTGTGCAACTGGCAGCGTGCAGGTGGCCCGCGAACGGTCAAACTGCAGCCTCTGGTCTAACCTGTTGTAAAGATCCAAATCAAACCCAAAGTAAGGCATATACCACGGGTGGCCAGAGCTACTCACCCGGGGAGCCGCATCCAATCCTCCACCAAAGCCAGAGAGCAGGGGCACGGGGTGCTGAGTGACCCGGAGTGGAGGAGCAGTGCTTCTACCAAAACTGTCCTGTGGCCGCTCTGGCTCACCTGACCGTCCAAAACACACCATTGCTTTTATATCATATGAATTCCCGTTACAATATCCACACCACATGTTTGTGCACCTGTGTCACCATCGCCCTTGCCCGAGACAGACATGCTGCCTTTCCCTGTACCCTAAGTTTACCCTGTCCAATGCTGTAATGCAAGAAGAAGATGCCTGTATTGCAGTGAGTCTGGGTTCCTTGTTTTTCTTCCTGGCTGTAGCAGTGTTGTACTGTTTATGAGCCTTGAGAAACCACTTCACTTCTGAATGCCTTAGTGTATCTCTGTGAAATGTGGACTTCAATGCAGACGCCTCAGGAGATTGTGTGGCTTAATTAACACGTGAAGTGTGAATGATATTGCCTTTGTGGTGCAACCAGGTCCATAATCTAACGTTGCTCAACCAGCTTAAAGAGGGAGTATGTAAAGAGTCCATTATACTACACGTACTGCAATAAAAGGGCGCAATGCATGGCTGTTAGCAGTGGTATTTTGTGGCCATTCCTTAACTTCTTTGCTTTTTTGGGTGTTAAGGAAGCAAAATTCCCATGGGCGGGAGGCAGGAGGCCAAGGAGGTGCTTGCAAGGAGGTCTGTGCAGTTTAAAGCAGCTACGAGAATTCCTCCTTCATGCGTGAAAAGATCCAAATCCTCCTCTCCCTAATGGAAAACCTGTCTGGAAGGCTTGCCTGCCATGCAGACACAGAGAGAGAAAGCAGCAGCAGGAGGTTTGTATTTGTATTCTGGCAGTGGCTCCTCACCGAAACCAATTGCTCAGGGAACCGAGTTCAAGTTTTTTTGGTCCAGCTGCCAAGGTAGTGCTGAAGGTTACATAATGGCTGAAACAAACTCAAAAATGGTGAAAATATGTAGGTATGTCTTGGTGGGCTTATGCCCTCCCAGCCGCTTGGAGGGACGGGCTCGTGTTTGTTTTGGAAACGGGCTGCCGGTGCTCGCTGTCCCACTTGGTTACATAGCTGGCCCTCGGACCAGATGCACTGAAAACAAAAAGGGGGTGGGGAGGGAGGAGGAAGAAAATACCAGCCCTGCAAGCAGGACCTTTCCAGCTCCAGTGTTTCCACAGCCTCCGCTGCTGGGCCCTGCGGCCCCTTCTGGGACTTGAGCACAGAGGGTTCGCTTTATACAGCACAGCCGTCCTTGCTGTCCTGTGCCGAGTCAACAGCTCGCAGGCCTCATGGCGCTCGTGCTCATCTCTTGTGCTGTGACTTTCCCCAGCTCTCCCGGTTCCCGCAGAAGTCTCTGAGCTGCCTCCGAGCCAGCTTGATTGAGAGTTTAGTGTCTAGCTATTAATACTGGGCTGAGTCTTGGAGCCCAGCGCATGGACAGATCCCAGCCTCCCTGTGACATAAGCAGATGGAGAATGCCCCTTTCCTTGGATGTTTCCATCGCCCCGTGCCAAAGAAGCAGCTTTCTGGTTAGTTAGGAAGGATCGGGAATATTTCAAGCAGCTCTCGCTTGGCCTGGACTCGGACTCCTCGCTGTACACGGTCCCCTGGCTCCAAGCTGAATCCGCTCTTTACTTGGGGGATGGGAGGGAGCGGAGGATAAGGAAATCTAGACTTGCATTTAAAACCCCTTCATTATCCTGGCGGCCTGTGGTGCATTTGCTAGAGGTTTCAATCGGCAGGGAGCAGAGCGCTGTGGATGTGCTGCTGATGCATGTCGGGAAGATATTCCTGGTTTGCA